AAAAGAAAGCCACCAGGGGCGTCTGGGCGGCTCAGTCGGTTAAGTGTCTGCCTTCGGCTCTGGTCATGATCCCAGGGTCCTGGGATCAAGACCCTAGTTGGGCTCTCTGCTCAGGAGGAAGCCTGCTTCTCCCTCTCCCTCTGCCTGCTGCTCCCCCTGCTTGTGCTCTCTCTCTCTCTCACAAGTAAATGAATAAAATCTTGAAAGAGAGAGAGAGAAAGAGAGAGAGAGAAAGAAAGAGCAAAAGAGCCACCAGGAAACAGGCCTGGGGTCAGGAAAATGCTGCTTCTGGCAAACCCACAGTAAAAACAACCTGATAGAAATCATACCTAAAAGGGCAGCTCTGCTTCCATAGCTTGGCTATTATAAATAATGCTGCAATAAGCAGAGGGGTGCATATACCCTTTTGGATTTGTGTTTTAGTATCCTTTGGGTAAATACCCAGCAGTGTGACTACTGGACAGTAGGGTAGTTCTACTTTTAACTTTTTGAGGAACCTCCATACTCTTTTCCACAGTGGCTGCACCAGCTTGCATTCCCACCAGCAGTGCATGAGGGTTCCTCCAAGTGTCCATGGACTGATGAATGGATAAAGAGGATATGATGTATATATACAATGGAATATTTTTATTTATTTTTTATTTTTTTATTTTTTTAAGATTTTATTTATTTATTTGACACAGAGAGACACAGTGAGAGAGGGAACACAAGCAGGGGGAGTAGGAGAGGGAGAAGCAGGCCCCCCGCCGAGCAGGGAGCTGGATGCGGGGCTCAATCCCAGGACCCTGGGATCATGACCTGAGCCGAAGGCAGACACTTCACAGCTGAGCCACCCAGGTGCCCCTATATAATGGAATATTACTCAGCCATAAAAAAGAATGAAATATTGTCATTTGCAACGACACGGATGGAGGTAAACAATATAACGCTAAGCGAAATAAGTCAGAGAAAGAAAATACCATATGATTTCACTCGTGTGGAATTTAAGAAACAAAACAAATGGACAAAGGAAAAGAGACAAAACAAGAAATAGACTCTTAACTCTAGAGAACAAACATGGTTACCACAGGGGCGGTGGGTGCGGGGATGGGTGAAATAGGTGATGGGGATTAAGGAGGACACCTGTGATAAGCACAGGGTGATGTATGGAATTGTTGAATCACTACACTGTACACCTGAAACTAACATAACAATATATGTTAACTACACTGGAATTAAGAAGAAAAAAAAAAAAAGGCAGTTCCGCAGTTGACGGCAAGGGCAAGGCTATAACTCAGACCTAAAATCATGCCGTCATGGCCCTGAAGACCAGTCTCCCAGGTTTCAACCGCCACAGGCATACTTTATTTGACCTACACAAAACTGCCCACCCACTCCCAACCAGGGTTTTCAAAAATGTTTAATGAGTTGCCAATTTATTTCACACTAAACAGAGGCTTCCACAATCTCTTGAAAACTTGGAAGATTTGACAGCCCTCGGTCAACAGCCCTGCACAGCAAGTCTGCCTGGCACCACTAGAGGGCAGGCCTTTCCTCCAGGCACACGCTTGCCACAGACAACTGGTTGCACTTGAGCTTTTTTTTTTTTTAGATTTTTTTATTTATTTATTCATGAGAGACAGAGAGAGAGAGGCAGAGGGAGAAGCAGGCTCCCAAGGAGCAGGGAGCCTGATGTGGGACTCGATCCCAGGACCCTGAGATCATGACCTGAGCCGAAGGCAGACGCTTAATCATCTGAGCCACCCAGGCACCCCTGCACTTGAGCTTCTGCTTTCCGGACTGGCTTCTGTGAGCAGCTGATTACATCTGATCTAAATTACATCCTAATTTAGATGTGGACAAATGCTGGTGCTGAGTGACCGCAGGCCAGGGATCGGGGGTCTGGCTATGGCCTGCGGCCTTCCCCAAACGTCTAGAGCACAGAGTGGGAAGCCAAAGACTGGGGATGGAAACACTGTCGCTACCACTTGGCAGCCTTTACCGGGCCCCCGTGTGCCACTCAGCTGATCAGAAGGCCTTCTATCTGGAGACGGGAGCTTGTGTGCCTTTGTTATCTTTCCATAATGCTGAAGACTGAAAACAAAACAATAAAACCACCTTATTCTTTTCTTCAGAGTTCTGAGGAGATGACCATAAATGGGTCTGATTCTTAAATCCCACACCAGGACCGATAAAAGATGCAGTGGGTGTGAGTTCTCCAAGGACAGGGCCTGTCTGGGGTAAAACCATGGAGCTCTTCACCCTCTCGGAACCCCACATGGGACAGGGCATCGGACATTTTTATCCTGGTGTGGCATTTCAGTTGGTGAGCTGCTTCCCTTAGGAGCATTTGCACCACAGGATGTGAGACTGTTCCCAGGTAAAAATGGTTCCACTATCAAGAGAAAAACAAGGAGGGCCCCTGCAAAGGCCCAAGAGCGCAGCTGCCCATTCCTTGTCACATTAGCCCCGCTGCAAATTAATTTTTAATGCCTAAATGAATGAACATGTCAACTAGCCTAGTGCTGAAAATTCCCACCGATAAACAGAGTGGAGGCATATTTCCATCCCCTGTAAAACTCAAAGATGTTATCTGACTGACATCTTAGTTAATCATACTTAATGCTAAGATTCAGGTTCTGACAGAATAGAACATAGGATAGCAAGTTTGATGGAGGAAAAAGATGGAAAAGTCCAGGATCCCAGGCCAGAGTGAGATCACAGTGAGGAGATGAGAGTGAGGCATCACAATCGTGAGAGTAAGAGCGCAGAGTAGTAAATAGTACTATTTCCCCCTCAGCTAGCTCTGCTTCTGACTCAGACTGAAAGCTGTGGGTGGGTGTCATGATGTCTTTCCTCACTTTCGCTATTAGAGAATAAGCGTCTGGCCAGCTGTGAAGACAAACAGCGAAGATCCTGGTGAGTTATTAAAGGACCGGCTCGGACCTCAATTTCAGTTGGGGAAGGGGAAAGCAACTTAAAGCAGACACTTCCGTTCCTCTCGTAAATGCGGTATCAAGTCCCACTTCGTTTTAATCTTCCCCATGAACACATGCAATACCCCGCCCCGGGATGGATTAACGTGTATTTTTCTAAAAGTGAAATGAAGGGTCTAAGAATTTAGGCCTGGTATAAGATGGCGCATGTAGCCAAGCTCAAATCAAATCACATCCTAAGAGAAGAGCCCATATTTTTTTTGCATTTAAATCACTATGCAACTTAAATGGGCAGAAGACATGAACAGACATTTTTCCAAAGAAGACATCCAAATGGCCAACAGATACATGAAAAAATGCTCAATATCGCTCGGCATCAGGGAAATCCAAATCAAAACCTCAATGAGATACCACCTCACACCAGTCAGAATGGCTAAAATTAACAAGTCAGGAAACGACAGATGTTGGCGGGGATGCGGAGAAAGGGGAACCCTCCTACACTGTTGGTGGGAATGCAAGCTGGTGCAGCCACTCTGGAAAACTGTATGGAGGTTCCTCAAAAAGTTGGAAATAGAGCTACCATATGATCCAGCAATTGCACTACTGGGTATTTACCCCAAAGATACAAAAGTAGGGATCCGAAGGGGTACGTGCACCCCGATGTTTATAGCAGCAATGTCCACAATAGCCAAACTGTGGAAAGAGCCAAGATGTCCATCGACAGACGAATGGATAAAGAAGATGTGGTATATATATATATATATATATATATATATATATATATATATATATATATATATATACACAATGGAATATTATGCAGCCATCAAAAGGAATGAGATCTTGCCATTTGCAACGACGTGGATGGAACTGGAGGGTATTATGTTGAGCAAAATAAGTCAAACAGAGAAAGACATGTATCATATGATCTCACTGATATGAGGAATTCTTAATTGCAGGAAACAAACTGAGGGTTGCTGGAGTGGGGGGTGGGGTGGGAGGGATGGGGTGACTGGGTGATAGACACTGGGGAGGGTCTGTGCTCTGGTAAGCGCTGTGAATTGTGCAAGACTGTTGAATCTCAGATCTGTACCTCTGAAACAAATAATGCAATATATGTTAAGAAAAAAAAAAGAAGAAGAAGGTAGCGGGAGGGGAAGAATGAAGCGGGGGAAATCGGAGGGGTAGACGAACCATGAGAGACGATGGACTCTGAAAAACAAACAGGGTTCTAGAGGGGAGCGGGGGTGGGAGGATGGCTTAGCCTGGTGGTGGGTACTGAGGAGGGCACATTCTGCATGGAGCACTGGGTGTTATGCACAAACAATGAATCATGGAACACTTCATCTAAAACTAATGATGTAATGTATGGGGATTAACATAAGAATAAAAAAAAATCACTATGCAACTTGTATGTAGAGAATCATCATAATGGCTTCATCTCCATCTCTTGGTAAGTAAGTCAGCTACCTTCTATGAAGATAACCTGATAGGAGACATTAAAGCAGTTTTTTTTTTCCTCCAGCACTCCTAAGAGAAGAGGGAAAAAAGGAATCAGAGTGCAGGTAATAGCTCTCACCCAAAGAACAAAGAGTCAAAGACACATTTTAATATGAAATTGTGTCCTCCAGTTTCCGCATCCAAATGTTAGTTCTGCCAAAAAAAAAATCCAATGTGAATGGATTTATGCAAGGTGCAAAAGAGGAAAATAATTCTTACAATAAACATTGACTAGACAAAGAACAACAGATGCAAACAACACAGATTGGATCACTCTGCTATATAAAAACATCCCGTTTCTTTTCACATAAAAGACATCTTGCTTTAAAAATAGTCAAAACATCTAAGGAGAGACACACAGAACCCAGAACCTAGTACCATCTCAACTACGTGAAGTTTTTTCCTCTTGCCCAGGGCTTCACTCTGCCAAATCATTCACACTCTGCAGTGAGTTCTTCTGGACTCCTAAAATGCTGTATATTCTTGCTCCACCCGCCCGACTTGCCCCAGTAAATCCTTCATGAGAGGTAACACAGGAGGCTAGTACCTCCAGGAAAAACTGTTAAGAAAGAAGAAGGACCTTACCACTTCTGGGAGCAGCCTTGTTGAGAGGTCATGGATGGCTTTGACCACTATACATATGGATGACAGAAGGAATATCACCCCCAGGATGACACAGGCTCTGCAAAGAAACAAAACATTGAGAATCTTAAACGGGAGAAGTCCGCTCCGCTCACTTACACAATAATACAACCCCAGGTACTGGTAGCCACCCATAATTCGCCACATGCCCACCAGGAGAAATGATACTGAATCATCTCTAGGATGCCAGGCCAATTTATCAGCAAAACCAACCCCAGGGGCAAAGGGCTCACCATCCTACATAATCTCAGAGCATCCCATGAATGCTGGCATGGGAGGAATTTCAAGGATGTTAAATCTATCCCTTCGGCCTGGCAACACAATATGCCGGTTCACCTCCAGCTGGAGGGTTCAGTTTAACAGCAAAGAGTGAGGGCTCTGGCCTGAAACACCCCAAGCTCTACCATTGATCTTGGTCAAGCTACTGAACTTCTTTTAGCTTCACCTGTCAAATGGGAATAATATTTTCCACCTGAGGATGAAATGAGCATCAGTAAATAAATAAATAACCCATTAATGTTGGCCTAAACAAAGGGGAAGTCCACTCTGGAGGTCTCTTCCTGATATGACGTGATAGACACCACTGTATTTTCCCAAAGATAAGAAGGAAGAATGATTTGGTAACAACAAAAGATATAGAGTGTTTATGCCAAGAGGAAGCAATTCTTTAAAAAGAAAGGAGAGGAGTGAAGGAAGAATGAGTTCAACTGAGACATTAGCACAGCAGGTGGCAGGAGGAAAACCAGAGGATGCACAGCCAGGGGTGTGGGGTGGGGGCTGGCGGGAAGTCTGGGGGAGCTCAGGACATAGGAGCTTTCTCTGGCAAACCAGACGCAACAATTTGCAGGAGAAGCAAAGATGAAACATGAAAGTAAACACGAGGAAATGAGGATAGTAATACAGGAGTCAAAACACCAAATGAGAACAAAAATAGAGAAAAATTAACAAGTACAATTAGCCCTAAGTCATTCCTATTCCAACCTGATGTCCCCATCACTTGGCAGCCTCCTCAGGCCTTTTCTCTCAACTATCAAATAAAACCATTTTTCACTGTCCGTCTTGGATTCCCTTCTCTGGATTAACAGAACGGCCGAAAATCGCCCACGTAACACTGAAGTAACACCTACTTAGTTAGAATCCTGATGAGCCCATGGGCAGACGTGGTCCCCCAAACCTCAACGTCAGAAATAAGCGGGTAAATAAGGCTTCTAACGCACACTCTAGTTGTAGGTTTTAGTCTTTCAAAAACAGACAGAAGGGATCACTGCAGATTAGTGCGTAACACAAAATTTAGAGATTGTAGGAAAAGTAGAGAATGGGCTGGGGATCTTGGTACAGACTTGAGCAAAAGAGGACCTGGCCCTAGGCACCAAAATGGGTGATCCACCATGGGGGGATGAGCCTGGGTTGCGGGGGACACAGACTCAAGGAGGAAAAAAGGTAATTCAGGCAGTAAGTACTTACCAACGCAGTGGCAGGAGGGAAGAAGGCTGACATGAGGCCCTCAACCTGGGGCTGGTAACCCCAGTCCTGGCAGGGCTATGGGGCCAAAGGGGCTGAAGCCAGGAGGGGTGTCTTGAGGGAACTAGGTCCATCTACTGGAGGCTCTTTAGTGACGAGATAACTGAGCAAAACTGAAGAACCCCGGGATTGGGGGATCAATGCTCCCAAGGCACTGGCCCCGGAGACCCAGCTGTGCCCACGGGGAAGCAAGCTATAGGCCAGTGTGACCAGCACCTCAAATAACCATTCCTACCTGCGCACTGTGTGTGTGGGGGGGTCCCATTCACAGGAAAAGAGCGTAAAGTCAGAATAGTCCTCCAATGTAAGTTGAGCTTACATAAGCTGGCCTGGCAAGTAAAGGGCAATGTGTGCGTTGGCCTGACAGCCTGACAGCACTGAGCAGCCAGGTCACTGGAATGAATGCAAATTCCTTCTCGCTCTTGCCCATACCCCAGAGGAGAGAAACACTGAGTCAGGAAAGAGGCAAATACAAGGCCTCCGTCAACATAATCCCCCAAATGAACACAGACTGAAGTTGAATTTAAACTCCCCACAGGACCACTAGTTGTCAAAGAGTGGTCCACGGAACAGCAGCATCAGCATCACCTGGGAACTTGTTAGAACAGCAAATTTTTGAGTCCACCCCAGATCTGCTGAATCAGAAACTCTGGGGATGGGGCCCAGCAATCTGTGTTTCAATAAGCCCTTCCGGTGTTTCTGATGCAGTCAAGACAGAGCCTACATTAGTCTTTCCCAAGACATTTAATGTCTGAAAGATGACTAGTAAAATCTAGAGAAATGACTAAAGCCACTGGTCATCTCTTTTTCTTCTGCTAAAGGCTACAGATTACTAATTGTGCACAGCACTGTAATTCTATGAATAACCTTGAAGTAAGCATTAATATTTTTTTGCTGATGAAATTATAAGGGCAAAATGTACGGACAGATACTCTCACATCCAAAATGATGTCAGGTTGAAAGTTTGGTCCTTTGTCAATTGTAGGTTTGAAGGCCTGTGATTCACATTAATAAAGCATGAGTCTTATACCAGTTCTAAGTTATTTTCCATCAGATCCAAACACTCAAACAGGAGAAGTTTTGTCTAGTCATCCTCTAATTTACAAAAGACCTAAAACACAGTAGCCCTGGTAATTAATCAGTTCAGTCCACAGCTTGAAGTATCAATGTTTTATCATCTTTCATCCTGGTGCCCAAAGCACTTGTAATCTGGGCCACTGTTCAAATGTGAAGTAATGAAAAATAAAAGACAGTCAAGTGTTGAGCACAAACATAGTACTTAGGGATGCACAATCTCTGGTGTTATTTTATTCCAGCTAGATTCTCTCTCCCTTCATGTGCTCTGCCATTTTAAATAAAGCCACAAAGTCCATTTGGAGGCAGGGTAAAGGGAAGGAGAAAGTGAGAAATGAATGCTTATGAGCCATTTCTCATTCTCTATAATGTCTATGCCAAACATTGATTAAAGACCACCATCTTCCTCCTTGCCTTGATTCTCCTAAGCTCTAGACCCCACCTCCTTTCACACCCACATTCCCATCTCTCTTCTCTACCTTCATCCTCATCTATCTAGATGCTGCACAGTGAACAGGCTGTGGTGTGAATGGTTCCCCAGGCCAGAGCTCTCCAGGAAAGTGGTCAATGCACTCTCCATGGTAAGATCATCCATCTCCTCAACATGTAACCACCAACTCACATGTAACCACCTTCCTCAACAAATGGCCCTTTGTTTATATCTGTATGAATGTACAAGCTAAGACCCACCCAAGTAAAATCTCATTTACACAGGACTTTTTTTCCTAGCTTCAATCATAAAGACAAAAGTCAACATGAGGGATTTATAAAAGAATTAGATTCTACAGCAATGCAGTCCAGTAGAATTTCCTGTGATGATGGGGTGCTCTATTCCGCACTGTCCAGCATGGTAGCCACTAGCCATATGTGGCTACTGAGTGCTTCAAATGTTGCTAGAGCAACTGAGGAAATGGAATTTTAATTTTAATTACTTTCAATTAATTATAATTTAAATGGCCACATGTAGTGACATATCAGACGGTGCAGTTCTAAAGGTTGCGCTGAAAATACAGATTCATCGGTGTATATGTACATATGTTTGTTGTCTATCTCTATACTCTCTCTATATTTTCTCGATAAGAAAAAGAAAAATGAAGAAAGGGAGGAAGGGAGGATGGGAGAGAAGGAAAGAGGGAGGGAATCCCAAAAGCTACTCATCAGAATCAGGTAAATTAATGTGGGCTGGCAGGGTCTGCTGTTGTAAAGGAGTATCATGTCTTTGGTATTTTCCACTAATGAATGTATCACTGCCCCCCCCCCCCAGTAAACTCCTCCAACTCCCCAGGTTTACATGCCAAGTCTCACTCTTGTTCTCATCTATTGTCCGTCAATCTCAGCCACAGCTACTGCTCCACCAGGGCTAACTCCATTTTTTTTAGAAGGGGATTTGTACTTCAGTCATTCACATTTGAAGTTCTACATGCCAAGCCTTGAGGCTAAGGAAAACAATCTATTCGCAGTCTCCTGAGAGCACAAATGTAGCACAGGAAACCTGAAAATCATCACAGGAACTCATTACTTATGAATGTGAAGATGGGCAAGAAACAAAATAAACATAGTAACATGGTGAAATACAACCTGGAGACAGAGTGGGAAGGAAAGGTGACTCTGCAGTGTGACTTTTTTTTTTTTTTAAGATTTTTAAAAAATTTATTTATTTGAGAAAGAGAGCATGAGTGGAGGGGAAAGGCAGAGGGAGAGGGAGAAGCAGACTCCCCACTGAGCAGGGAGCCCAGCATGGGGCTTGATCCCAGGACCCTGAGATCGTGACCTGAATGGAAGGCAGACACTTAACTGACTGAGCCACCCAGGCACCCCTGCAATGTGACATTTAAGCTAGGTCTAGAAGAATGGACAGGAATCACTAAGCAGAAAAAATGGAAGGCTAGGGAGGACGCTCCATGCAGAGGGGACTTTACGAGCAAAAGTGTGAAGACCTAGCACTGTGGGGCCCTGCTTCAGTGAAAATGCAAAGTAGAGGTGCTGTGCATGGATATGTTCATGTCCCTATTAAAGACAGATCACGTTAGTCCACAAAACAAGTATCAATAAATCTAGTAAGTCTGAAATCATATCAAGCATCTTTACTGACCAAAATGATATGAAACTAGAAGTTAATTACAAGAAAATAAATGGAAAAAAACACAAACACATGGAGGCTAAACATGCTACTAAGCAACCAATGGTTCAACAAAGAAATCAAAAAGGAAATTAAAAAAAACACCCAGAGACAAGTGAAAATAGAAACACAATGGTTCAAAATCTTTGGGACATAGCAAAAGCAGTTCTGAGAGGAAAGTTTATGGCAATACAGACTACCTCAAAAAATAAGAAAAATCTCAAATCTCAAATAAACAATTGAACTTTATACCTAAAGGAACTAGAAAAGCCCAAAGTTAGTAGAAAGAAGGAAATAATAAAGATCAGAGTTGAAATAAATGAAAT